AGAGGCAGATTGGTATAATAGAGAGAATACGGGACTTGGAGATAGGAAGATCCAGGTTCAAATCCAGCCTCTGACACTTGCTAGCTGGATGCCCATGGATAGGGGCTTCTTTGAGTTACAGGCAGCTCTTAGACACGTCTACTAAGCTTTAGACAGGTTGTGATTTGTTTAGGTGGAGGGAGTTTGTACACCAGGAAATCACAGGTCCTTGAAATATTGATGTAAGCAATGAGGACAAATTGAAGGGAATGGAAATAACTGAGCTAATATTTAGCACCACTGGGACGAATATAAATGACCCACTGACAGTTATGTTAATAAACTAGCTCTCCATTGCCACGGGCACCATCTTAGCACAAATCCCCATGAACACCAGCCTGGACTATTGTGATAACCTTTTGATGACTAGCTCTATACCTCCAACCTATCCGTTTTCTAAACCACCTTCCATGTTGTCTTTGAAATAATCTTTCTTACCAACAGATCTGGCTATGTCACTCTTCTGCTTGAGAACCTTGAGTAGCTCCCTACTCTTCACTGCACTAATGTTCAAACTATCCTACCTAGCATCCACTACCTTACATCACCCCACCTTTTCAGCCTTGATTTTACGTTAAGCCCTTCCTTTACATTTCAGCCAAAATGAAGTACTCTCCCACCATCAAAACCGTACACAGCCTTTCTGTCTATCTTTGTGGGTGAGATGTTCTTCTCCTCTTTTCTTTGCATATCAATTTCCTACCTATATTTTCTTTAACGATTTTTTTCTGGATATCTTTTGTCTGTTACATTAATTTCCCGATAGATCTCTTCCCCCAACCCAGTGAGCCATCTTTTAATAATAAGGGAGAAAAAGGAGAAAGAAAGGGTTCAGCAAACTAGTCAACTTCTCATCTTAATCTGACATTATATGCAGCACCGAACATCCATAGTCCTCCTTCTCTGCAAAGAAAGTGAAAGGAATCATATGTGAGAGCAAGCTTGGTCAGAAGAGTAGCTAGTATTTATATAGCACTTTACATGTTACACAAGCCCTGTGGAGTAGGTGCTATTATTGGCCTCCTCATTTGATAGATTAGGAAACTGAGACTGAGATGGTTAAGTGACTTGGCCAGGGTCACACAGCTAGGTAAGTGTCTGAGGTGGGATTCAAACTCATCTTACACACTCTAGGTCTACAGCCCTCCTCTCCCCCTTTTCCATTTCCCCTTCCCCTTTTCCTTCTCCTCCCTCCTCTCCTTTCCCTCCTTCCCCTCCCTTCCTCCCCTCCCCTCCCTTTCCCTTCCCTTCCTTTTGTTTTCCTTGTTCTGATTACTTTGCTTTGCAACGGTTCTTTTAAGTCAGGAAAATTTGGGTTCAAACCATGCCTCAGATACTTAGTGGGGTGTGTGTGACCCTGAACAAATCGTTTCGCCTCTCTGGGACTGTTTCTTCATCTGTAACTTGAGGGGAGGTAAACTTGACGACCACAATGGTCCTTCCAGCTCCGAATCTATGATCCTTTTATAGAACAGATTTGTTTCAGATAAAGGTTGGACCTCATGGTCCTTCATGCTCTGAGAATCTGTGATTCTGGGACCCCACAGGATGTTTCACATTCCAACTGTCTGCTCTAGCTATTTTCTTGCCATCCACTTTGTGATTTTTCCTCCAGACAACCAGAATGCCTCAGACTTGAGGGTCTCAACACATCAGCTTTGTTATCACAGCCCTGGGGTCATGCTGTCCTGACTGGTAGGTCCACCAACACAAACCCATGGCCTATCTCTAGTAATATCTGTATCTAATCTCTAAGCTATCTCTAATGGGCTCCAGAATCTAGCCATATTTCTTATTCCACCCATCCCAGTCATCAATCCAGCCAATATGTGAGTACTCCTCTCCTAGAATCCATTGTTTCTCTCTGGTTCTGGGAACAGTAATCCAATCAGCACTGCTAGGAGAGGAAACGTCCATGGACTGCCTTGTTGCTCAGTCCTTCATTCTCAAAGAGGACCGATGACGTCACCAGGGCGATGTCTTGACTTACCTGTGAATTAGAATGAAGTGAGGCAGAGCCATGCAAAGTCTTCCACCTCACTTTCTCCTCCAGTCATCGGGGTCCAGCTATAAGACAAAGTCAAGACAACTGGCGATGACCTAGGATGCAATGGGCTGACCGTGGCCTTTCTAAATTAAGATCTTTCCCTGATCTCAGTGTATCCCAGGCAACATCCATTCAATGACTAAGGGGTACATAAAAATTGAGACAAGAGATGGCCTAGTTTACCATCAAAAATAGTATCGGTCTAGGAAGGGAAGACGCTCAGAGTTTCTACTTCTATGGTTCTACTTACCATCTCTGTGACTTTTCAGACCAAAATATCACTCTTTGGCCAATACTTCCTTACTTCTTTACTCTTTAGAGTGTAAACTCCTTGAGGGTGGGGACTATGGATTGCTCTTGTGTTTGTATCCTTAGCGCTTGTGACATAATAACATAAACATCTTAATCAATGTTCATTTTTTTTTTCTTTTAAAAGCAATAGGGTTTAAGTGACTTGCTCAGGGTCACACAGCTAGCTAGTAAGTCTCTGAGGCCGGATTTGAACTCAGATCCTCCTGACTCCAGGGCTGGTGCTCTATCCACTGTGCCACCTAGCTGCCCCCAATGCTCATTTCTTTGCAGTTACTCACAGGGTTAGAACAGTCCTGAGGTGACAAGGTATTCAGCACTGCAGAAGGATGGCTTCCCCCATCCTGGAATGTTCTTCCTCTCTGCCCTCAGCTTCCTGGCTTCCTTCAGATTCAGATTCTAATTCCTCCTTCTTTTAGGAGCTTTTCCCAGCCCCCACCCCAACACACACACACACACACACACACACACACACACACACACACGCACACGCACACGCACACATACAAACACACACTAATGTCTTCCCTTTGGGGTTACCTCCTACTTCCCCCAAATGTATTTTGTTTGCATGGTGTTTCCCCCATTAGAGTGTGAGCTCTTTGAGGGCAGGGATTCTTTTTGCCTTTGTTTGTATTGCTAGCACATTCAATGCCCGCACACAGTAGGTGCTTAATAAATACTTTTTGATTGAATGGTGTTGTCTTAGAGGGACCAATATACTAAATAATTTGCTTAAGAAAAGCTCCTTTTCTTTTTTTTAAACGTACATTTTTTTTTTTAAATTTTGTTTTATTTTTGGCTAGGCAATAGGGTTAAGTGACTTGCCCAGGGTCACACAGCTAGTAGTGTTATGTGTCTAAGGCCAGATTTGAACTCAGGTCTTCCTGAATCTGGGCCGGTGCTCAAAAGCTCCTATTCTTGCCTGACATGAAAGTATAGACATTTTCACATGAAAAACACGGTGTAGTGGAAGGCACCTCATGACTTGCTGTCAAAAAACCTTATAAAGGCTCACAGAGTGTAGAGATCTTAAACATCATTAAGTACTTGTTTTCAGAGGAGGAAATTGAGGCCCACAAAGGTTGAATTACTTGCTCTTGACTTGAATTCCGATTCTCATTCCACAGCACCAGAATGCCTCCTTCGTACCCTAGCTATCTGACCTTTGCCCCATTTATCTTTTGTGAGCCTCAGTTTCCTCACCTGCAAAATGGGAGTTGTATTAGTACTGTATTATTATATTGTATTGTATTATATCATATTGTATCATATCATGTTATATCATATCATATCATTTTTGATTGTATGACCTGCCTTAGAGTTGTTGTGAGGATTAAAAGAAATTATCTTTAAGTATATGAATGTATGTGTGCTATTATGTGTATTATATTATGTTTATGTATTATATTATATTATATTCATGTTATATTATGTTTATATTATATTCATGTTATATTATGTTTATATTATATT